GGGGGGGGGGGGGAGTAGGTACAAAGTGACAATTCCGACAAGTGAGAATGACGCATGCCCAGCACAAATGAAGCCCAAGAGATTCCCACTTGCCAACTCGAATGCCAAAAAGGTGGCATATAGCCCCCGGCTCTAGCTTGTTGAACAACTGGAAAAGGTGACAGCGGGGGTATTTGACCAACAAAAAAATCGGGGGCGAACGGCTGAAAGCCTGGAACCCGGGGAAAGTGTGCGGCGACTTTGGGAGCTGTATATATGCGCAATAAAATGTAGCAAAAGGATTCCCGCTAGCCGATTTGAACGACTGACCTCGTCATCACGTGACGCTGACTAAGCCAGCTTACGCAATACTAGTGACGCGCTCTACCACTGAGCTAAGAGGGAGTTGCAAGTTACTGCGATTTGGGGTACACATTGATCAAATTGAACACGTGCATGTGTCAGTCTGCAACTGACTTGGTTCTCGACCCTCACCAGTCTACTCTGTCGCAATGTTTAGCATATCTCTCTAAATAAATTATTTGGCGACTAAAATCGAAATCTGACTGGCAGCTAAAACCCGCGACCCGCGGAGAGGCGCTGCCAGTATCTCTCGATCTTCGCAGCGTTCTAGGCGATTTCTTCAACCTCGCTGCATTCGTTTACACCTACCAATTGCCTGGCGCCCCGCCGTGCTGGTACGTCACCTATGAGTACAAGTTTTGGATTAACGTCTCTTGATGTGAGCTCAAGCATTCAACAATCGCACGGCCAGCCAATCCGCCAGACACTGGACGTCCAACTTGCATTCCCAGACCGGTCTTGTCACTTTATAGTACAAGGTATGCTACTGCTTGTTGCATCTGTTTTTAATACTGAATTGGTCTACGTATGCTCGACTAGAACGGGGTAGCGGTCATGGAGGAGCCTTTTTTATAGCTTGCTCGATTAACTATTCAGTAGTGTCCCAGACAGAAGATCCTAAACTTGCCAGCCTTTCACTGTTATTGGCGGAGCCTCGAACACCACAGCACCCGCCAACCTCTACCTGTAGCTAAAGGCGAAATTCTCAATATTATGCCCCTCCACGCCCTTCGCATAGTCATGCGATATTTGAGGGCCTCGAATCCCCTCGCTCTCTTGCGTTCTACCATCCTATACGGGAACGATTATGATGCAGGCGGCACGATGCAAACTGCCAGTAGCTTGAGGGCCGCAAAGGCTCTACTTCTCTTTTGAAAGGTGCTCATAGTGTTTTATTTCATTTTATTTCATTATTATTTCCTGAAGGCAAGCCGCCCGCCACATCAAACTCTGACGGTGGGATCACCCCCGAAATGACTGAGTGCGATGCGGACAATGGTGTATCGATGGCCACGTGCGGCAGCCGCACTTCCGTGAATCACCTAGCTTCTTATTAGAGGCTAGCGATAATTGGTTTGTTCGTTTCTCTGCATGTTTGATATGTGCGTCAATGAGAGTGTGTTAGTCAATAATACCAAATATCAAAAGGCAGCAGTACAAGAAACCTACGCATACATGCAGCGTAGAGGAGCATATGCCTTCCAAGGACTAAAAAATCGTCGAACTTAACAGAAAGAAACAGCGCGGGGAAGGAGTTGCGCGTTACGTAGCAAGAAAATACTTGGGTGGCGCTAGCAGGCGAATGTTTGGGTGGCGCGGCACAAGCAAGACCAAACTTACCACCAACTTGAATGTCGATGCGGCTTCCCACTTCTCTTGTCCGCCACCACTACCACTACCACTACCACTACCACTACCACCACCACCAGTCATGACACCAATAGGTATACTCGCTGCTAAGTAATTTATGTGCGCTGAACGATGTCAAGGAACAGCAATTGATTGAAGAGGCAATCTTGCCAGCGCCCGTAGCTTCGACTAATAGAAAAATGACTACTAGCACGATTGCTTGCACGTATCTAGAGGTTCGCTGATACCGTCTGTAGCCAAAAATTTATCCCTTCCGAGATCTGTTCCTCTAGTAGGACGCACCGGTTGTGATTCTGACGAGTACCGCGCATACATTGGCATACATCCCGCTGATCGCTGTCCTAGACCGTGTGCCAGGCAGCGAGGAAGATGTGATCGCATTTATAGGCACTGAAGCTCTTCATTAATTGATCTGTAGGACGCCGTGATGGTCGACATTACTGGTATGTATTTCACTGCACAAATCTCGACCATGGCTGATCGTCCCCAGGCACACCAAACCGGAGCACAGTGAAGCGTAAGCACGCAGCCTTGAAATCGTCCAGCGAATTTGTATTTACACATTTATAGGTGCTGGACCTTCCAAAAAGTCAATGGGCAAGCAGTCGACTGAAGGTATGTGCGCTAGTAATATTTGAGACATGTACTAACTCGTTCTTGCTAAAGACCCACCCAGTCACCAAGCCTCCTAATGAGTGGCCCGTGTATTGCGACGGCCTATGCTGATTATTTTCAGAGCTCCTTGCCACCTTGATTGGATCCTTGCGTGCGGTCTCCACGAATACTCTCAAAGATGAAGTCAAGGCGCGCAACCACGAGATCGCCCACCAGCTCGTTCTCAAGGATGCTGAAGAGGCAAAGCAGCGAACGATACAGATGACAACTGATGTGCTCACTCGTGTAGAAAACGTGAGACGATCAAGAGACTCGCTCAGAATTCCTCCAGTTGATTTCTAACCAAATGCGCGTCACCGTTCTCGAGCGCGAGATTGAACAACTGAAGCCGACAACCATTGTACAGGACAAGGAGGCGCATCTCCAGTCGCTCAATCTCATGGGAGAATAAGGAGAGCAAGTACAAGCCGAAACAGGACGGCGAAAACAAATATGAACACAACAAAGCGCAAAGATAGTTAAAAACGAAACGCTTAGCTGCGAGAGCATTGGGAGCGAGTCGAAATCGAAAGGTATAAGAAACATGAAAGCGGAAAGACACAAACACGTTAAAGCGCAAACATAGTTAAAAACGAAACCCATAGCTGCTCTGGCTATGCTTCTCGTTTGTAACTGTGTCTGCGCTTTAACGTCATTGTGTATTTTTGTTTTCATGTTTCTTATACCTTTCGATTTCGACTCGCTCGTAATGCTCTCGCAGCTGTGCGTTTCGTTTTTAACTATCTTTGCGCTTTGTTGTGTTCGTAATTGTTTTCGTCGTCATGTTTCGGCTTGTACTTGCTCTCAAATGAAGTAGCATTCTTTTATAACCGTGTGCATATCTCTGTTCTATCTGGTGGCTGTATCTATGGCTCCCTTGTAGTGAACAACATGCCACCTAATAGCATGCACTCCGAAGATGTACTCAACGCCAAAATGGCTGATACTGTATAAGTTGACCGTACTGGTAATGTCGTGGTTGATCGAGGATTCCTGGCCCCTACCAAAAACTCCTCTGGCGCGAGCTGGATACCAGTGCCACGAGATACGTTGGTCGTAGGTTCAGCTAATTCCGCCACTAGCTCGTCAACTGTTGTCCCATCCAAGCCCACGTCCGTCCACCGACCATTGAGCCTATCAGGAGTAATGCTTGGGACCGGTAATGGCCTTTATTTCGTTCGTGAACTTGGTGCAATGCGCAACGCCAGCCCAACTGGATTCGAGGAATGGCTAAAAGCAGCAAGCGATCTTGCCGCATTTATCCAGGAGCGAGCGCTAGAACCAGACCCTCATAACCGCCGGGAGTTCGTCGAGGACAAGGTCGCACTTTATCGTCACCAGTAAGTTTTTGTCTGAATTTGGCCATGTTGTTAACTATCTGCGTAGGGGTACACATCGGAAGGATTCCTGCGCACCAGTAGCCAGTACAACCTATGGTTTGAGCGGTAGCAATATTCAGATAGCAAAAGCGAAGACCAAACTTGAATCAGGTAATTCTAACAGAATATTTTAGTATAACTCACGTTATTTTAAAAGGCCAGCTAGTTTGCCTGTATGACTGGCCACTCTCCGGCGTTCTTCGAATGCCAATCAGTATGTAGCTGACAGAGCAACCGCTCATCTTCCTCGTCACCCGGGATCACCCCACAAGCATTGCAGGTGATTCATTTGGCTTCCTTGGCACTCTGTATTCTTATTCTCACACTTATGGTCTAAACCCATCTAAACTTTCCCTCTTTTAGGGCGCCAACAGCTGGGTGTCCCATCGGACAATGACTTGAGCCCATCGCACCACTCTATGTGTCTTAAATGCCCGAAATGCCACATCTTGGATTTGCGTCATATAGATAAGCATTGTTCTGCACTTGGGGATAACGTCATGCCCTCGCGCTCATCTCTCCGAGCGCTTCTTCGATCCACTCATGCGCATGGCCCCCGTATCGCCTCCAATTTTTGGCCAGTCAACTTGACTCGTTTTGTGCCCCTCGGCCCCGTTATATGACTCGTAAAATACAGCCTTGCTGTGTCCCATATGTTATGCCGACTCACTTGGGGTCCGGGTATATAAGAGGGTCAAGCGAGCTGCCAGAACGCAAGAATTTACTCTCTACGTTGCCCGGGGATTTCTGCCGCGATCTCTCACAGTTGTACGATGACCGCCCAAGAGACGAGCCCCAAGTCTACGCATGAATCTGACACTGAAGAAAAGTCTTCGTTACTCGACAAAGAGCCGAAATGCCAAGATCTGAAAGACGCATCTAAGAAAGAAGAGAACAAACCTCGTTACCGCGAGCACCAACTTGGTGCTTGGACTTTGTATTTCCCGCTCACAAACACCTGGAGTGATTCAATTCCAACTTTGAGTATTATATATGCGCTTCATGGCCTAGTGAAAAGCGTGCCGGTTGTCTGGCAGTTCCTACGCGAATCCTTGTCGCTAGGTCCCTATACCTTCACTGTATACCTTATTTCGTCGGCGCTTGCGAGCTTAATGCCATCGATTCAACTGTACAACAACTCGTATATCCTAGAATTAGTAAGTATTCTGTATTTCTTGGCACAGTACCATCCTCATGTTCTGTCCAAACAGACCGAACGAGCTCTGCTCAACCACGAGGATCACACGAAGGCTTTTGGGGAGCTTAAATATGGTTTTATAGTTTACTTGGCGACACTAGTTTCCGGCTGGGTGGTGCGCCGCTTGGAGTTAGTGGCACGTTCATCATACCGGTGCGAACAGCACTGACTACTCAACTCGGACAGGGATTACACGGAACCCGTTGTGAAACAACGAGTGGAATTGCATTTTGAGGCGCGGGTACTAGAAGGTTCGTATTAGTCGTGGGATCCTCATAAGGGGTCTGAAAAGTCGTCACCGTTGTCCACAGTTCGAAGTCAGCTCGATATCAACACAGCAGAAGACCCAGACATCAAGTCCAGAATGGACCAAGCCACCAAGAACGGATCCAACGCACTGTCTATTCTCGAGGGTCTGGTTGAATCAATTGGCATTTTTA